TGGAACTGCAGATTGTTAGTTGCCATCTGCTTCACTAAATCCTCCAAAGAAAGACCATTGCTATTGGCTTGCTGTTGCATTGGCGGCGGCTGCTGCATTGGCTGTGGAGGTGCAAATTATTGAAAATTTTGTCTCTGCTGTGAAGGTACAAACTGCTGCCTCTGCTGGAATGGTGCTCTTTGCTGGTTCTGATTCCAATTGAGATTTGGATAGTTTTTCCAGCCAGGATTATATGTATTAGAGAAGGGATTGTTTTGCAGCTGCTGCTGCATCTGCTGGTATTGTGGCTTTGCAGGAAAGACTGCAGCAACAGACTGATCACCTTGGAAACCACTGTCTTGTAGAGAAGGACAAGTATCCGTGGGGTGAGAAAGATCACAGCAGATGCCACACAGGTTGCTTATCTGTTGAGCAGAAGGTTGCACAGTCTGTGTTACTGCCAACTGCCTCACCATTGATGTCAGCTCATCAAGTCTGTTCTCCATTCTCTGGTTATCTGTGCTTGATGCTCCTGCTGCTGCTACTGTTGGATTTTGCATTGGAGGAGTTTGCACTTGGAACACTGCACTGCTGTTTGCTCTAGTGCCAAATTGCTGAGCATTAGCCGCTATCTCAGCAATCAACTCTTTTGCCTCATCAGGTGTTTTATTGCTCAGGACTCCTCCACTAGCTGCATCTAAAAGGTTCCTATCCATATGCAGCAATCCTTCATAGAAGTAAACAATCAGGAGATTGTCTGGAATCTGATGGTGTGGGCAGCTTGCACAAAGCCTTTTAAACCGCTCCCAATACTCATGCATGTTCTCCCCATTAGCCTGCCTTATGCCACTGATCTCCTTTCTGATTGAGGTGGCCCTAGATGAAGGGAAGAATTTCTCAAGACACAATCTTGACATGTCATTCCAGCTTACAATGGAGGAAGGTGGCAAGTAGTACAGCCAATCCTTAGCTCCACTGTCCAAAGAGAAAGGAAAAGCACGCAGCTTGATTTGCTCCTCATCCACCCCTGGTGGCTTCATAGTGCTGCAGACTATATGAAATTCCTTCAGATATTTGTGAGGATCCTCACCTGTAAGACCATGAAACTTGGGAAGCAAATGTATCAGTCCAGACTCAAGCTCAAAAGGTACAAAAGGATTAGCATAACGAATACACAGGGGCTGCTCATTATCAACATTAGGAGCAGCCAATTGCTTAAGTGTTCTATCACCCATGATTTCAGAATCAAATAAATTACCAAACGAATAGACACTATGTAAAGGACTCGAACAAACAGACTCAACAGACTCGGACTCAACAGACTCAGACTCTAAGGTATGCTCAGGAACAGCTCTACTGTAAGTCAACCTACGAGCTCTACTAGCAGCATGCAATGATCTCTCTATCTCAGGGTCATATGCATATAAATCATCAACATTGGTGGTACTCCTAGTCATGCATCATAGGTAAAGGCATACAACAGTAAAATCACAAAACATACGATAGGACACACAAAAAATTTGCCGAAAAAAAGCAAAATAAATCTACTAAAAATACTAAATGACCTCAGAATGCTATGGGACCAACTCTCTTAAACTCTAATTGACCCTACGAACTCAAAAATCAAATAAAATGTTTTCAAAAAATAAAATAAAATAGTAAACGAACGAATTCTGCAAAAATAGGGCCTGATTCGTGGGGCATATCCCCACGATTTTTGACAGGGATGATCGTCTTCTTCCGGTCACCAATTTTCAGATCGATCAAAGTAAGTCGAACAAATCCAGAAATACCCGACACGTCCTGAAACGACAAAGAAACACCAAAACGGTTTAGTAAACGACAGAATTTGGCAAAAATAAGGGTCACCACACACCCTTTTAGGGTGTGAACTATGCTCAGAAGATCAAATTCCTTTGGGAATAGAACTCTCGAAGCCAATCTCTCAAACAGAAGTTTTACCGATTTTCCAAATTGCCCCAAATTGCCCTAAAACGTAAACCGTAATGCAAAATATTCAAAAACTGAGAAAAGATGCGTGTGCAGAATCAAATTCCGATGCAGAATCAAAGGTGCAGAAATCGGAATCAGAAACACAAACGAGTACAAACGCAGAAACAAGACAGATGCGCAAACATAATTTTTTTTTTTTAGAAACAAAAACGAAAATTAAAGAAGAAAAAGAAGATGATCAAATTCAGAAAACGATTTAGACCGATGCAATTTCGCTGGTAACGGCACCAAATTTGACACGAGTTGTCGAACTCGCGCAAATTAAAAATTATTTTTTTATTAGGGTTCAGAAAATTTGCAGTAAAGTGGAAACCCTAAATCGTCTCTCAAGGAAATTGGTTGGGTAAAAATCGATTATCAAGACAGAAATTAAAGGGGGGGTTTTGGATTTTTTGTTGAATAATTAAAATGCATAATATAAAAATTGGGATTAAAAATTCGTAATTAAAACTAACCAACCTAAGGTTAGGGTTCCATGGACGTTCTTCCTTGGATGAAAAATTACCAAATTCGTGATTAATCTCAATCGAATCAGAATCCTTATTTTCAATTGGGAACAATCTGATCATCAAATCTGATGATCATTCTTTCCCATAATCGCGATAGCGAACCTCAGATCGAATATCCACAATCGCACGATATCGATCTGAGTTAGAGTAAAGAAACGAATCTGGCTAGAGAATGATCGCTGATCCTCTAGACAATTCCATGGAATCCCTTCCTCTTAGGTTGATTAAAAGGTTCTTAGCCTCGCATGGCTAAGGTAAACATGATTAAAAATTAAAATAAAATAAAAAGAAGAAGAAAGAGATGAAGAACGCGAAGAACGCTTCAGAGAAAATGCTTTGATCCCAAAATTCAAAAATTACAGAATGAATAAAAGTTTCCTACTCTGCCGTCATATACCCTTACCCAAATCGGGTTAGAGTTCAGTTCTGATCGGCCCATCTGTCTAAAATACGAAATAAATAAATAAAATAAAACTTGGCTTTGAGCCACTTATGTAATTGGGTTTTAATTTAAATTACAAGTTCAATAATAAAATAAAACCTCAGCAAAACGCGTCCGAATTGGCGTAAGAAATCGACCATCTTGCAGTCCGAATTGGGCTTCGAACTCTTCATAATAATTGTAGCCCTCTGTGTTATCTGAAAAACCCAACAAGAACAGAGACAATCCGACAACTTTGGACCAAGATATGGCGAAAATACAGAAGTAACGTAAAGCTGAAAAATTCTGACGAAAATAAATTAAACCCAATCAAACACTAAAAATGTAAATTAGCTCAAAACATCATTATTTTATTCAAATAAATCTTAAAAATAATAATCAAGAGTAACAAATAAGTGCAATAAAATATGAGTTATCAGGACTTCAGTCATCAGTTGATTGCTTTAAAATTTAAGAGTATTTATGGTAAGCAATATCTTCGTCTACTCGGTTATTGCCCTATTCCGTTATGTATAGAATGGCAGATGATTCCAATAAAGAGACAAGGATTAACAAGATGATTCCGTTATTGCCCTATACCCTTCTCAATGTATTGGAATGTTGATTATTTGAACTGTGAGATGTTAAGAAGTAGAAATTTGGCAAGGATTAACAAGAAAAAATGGCAGATGATTCCAATAAAGAGACAAGTAGCAAAAAAAAGATGAAGGAGAAACAATGATGGGGTGTTGAATATCACTTCTAAATTGCTGATATCGAATATGATTTGATTGATTTCTCACAACCTTTTAGATTATAAAGTTTTGAATTTCATCTCTGCAAAGTCTGATACCACCACATGTATTACTACCCTAGAGAAGTAGCCACATTAATGGTTCGATTCTAATTATGCTATCTATTGGTAAACTAATTTATTACTTCAAATACATGCATTCTGATGGCCCAAAAAATATATACATGCATTTTGCTCTAATCAGCATATTTGAAATTACCAATATCAAATAACTTGTAATTATTGCAGGGAATTTTTATTTTATTAAAGCTAGAGATGTCTTCTACTCAACGTGAAACACTAATCTCACAAGAAATTTCATCTCAACATTCATCTCACAAAAATCAACACATGGGAAAAACTGATCCAAGTTGGGCACACTGTAAACAACTTGCTGAAGAGAATGGAAAAATTGTTCTAGTGTGTCTTTATTGTGATAAGATAATTAGGGGAGGTGGCATCAATCGACTTAAAACCCACTTGGCCGGAGAAAAAGGGCAAGTTGAACAATGCAAGAAGGTTCCGATAGATGTTCGTTTTCAAATGAAGCAAAATATTGATGAGTGCACGAACAAAAAAAGAAAAGTTCAAGAGGAACAAAAAACCCACTTGTTGAGAGTTATCGCACTGTTTGGAAGCAAACAGGATGTGCTATTATGGAAGATGGGTGGACTGATCGTTGTAGGAGAACTCTTATCAATTTTCTAGTTTATTGCCCAAAAGGAACTATTTTTTTGAAGTCGGTTGATGCTTCTAATGCTTCAAAAACTGCAGATCTATTGTATAAGCTTTTTAGAGATGTGGTGTTAGATGTTGGCCCTGAAAATGTTGTTCAGGTTGTGACTGATAATGTTGCAAATTATGTTGCTGCTGGGAGGTTATTGGAGGCTGAGTTTCCTACTATTTTTTAGTCTCCTTGTGCTGCTCATTGTATAAATTTGATGTTACAAGACTTTGGAAAGTTAGAGGAAGTAAGTGTTGTTGTGTCTCATGCTGCCAAAATTACCAAATACATCTATAATTATTGTCATCCATTGCATTCGATGAGAAAATATACAGGTGGAAGGGAAATACTTCGTCCAGCTCCGACTCGCTTTGCCACTAATTTTATTGCCTTACAAAGCATATTGGCTCAAAAGGATGCATTAAGGGCTATGGTAACTTCTAGAGATTGGACAAGCTCAGCTTATTCTAAAGAGGCCAAGGCAAAAAAGTTTGTGGAACAAGTTTTAGATTCTAATTTTTGGAAACAATGTGCTGATATTGTGAAGCTTACTGAGCCACTTATTCGTGTGTTGCATATTGTTGATAGTGAAGACAAACCTGCCATGGGTTTTCTTTATCAAGCTATATTTAAAGCTAAAGAGGAGATGATAAGGAGATTTCAAAGAAATAAGAAGAAGGTGGAGCCTTACTTGACCATCTTAGATAGTCGTTGGGATTCACAGCTTCGCAAAAATCTTCATGCCGCTGGTTATTGGTTGAATCCAGGTTGTCGTTTCAATAATGAAGAATTTGAAAAACATAAATTCACAACATCGGGCCGTTTGGATGTCATCGAGAGATATGCTTATGGGAATCCTGATTTAAATTCTAAGTTGACAAGTGAGATGAGAATATTCAAAAATGCTGAGTTAGATTTTGAAAGGCCATCTGCTAAACGTGAACGGAATACCGTGATGCCAGGTAAAATTTATGGTTTATATCTTTCTTTTTTTATGAGCATTAATTGTTATTATTGTTGAATAATATTAATACTAATTTATCCCATGCGATATTCTAGATCAATGATGAGAATCTTATGGATGTGGTGCACCAAATTTGCAAAAATTGGCTATTCGTATTTTAAGTCAAACTTGTAGTGCTTCGGGTTGTGAACGCAATTGGAGCACATTTGAACACATTCATTCGAATAAGAGAAATAGATTAGAGCATCAAAAGCTTAATGATCTTGTCTATGTTCGTTATAACTTGAGGCTGGCACAAAGGTATTATTGAGTATTTTTTTTATATAATTATTTCTCCAAGTATTTTCTAATTTTGAAAATTGGACAATTTAATAAACGTAGGAGTCGATTGAAGCAACAAAATTATGATCCAATAAATTTTGAAACATTTGAGGAGCACTCTAATTGGGTACTGAAGGAATCACCACCATACTTAACAGTTGAAGAAATGGAAGCTTTATGGACGGAGCTTGCACATATGTCCATTCAACCAACTTTAGATGAAGCAGGTGTGTTTACTTATTGTTTTATGATTATTTGATTGTTTGACTACTTCATGTTAATAACTAACATACATGAAAAATTGGCATTTGTTTTAGATCAACTAAATTTGGATGATGATGATGAAGATGAGGCACAAGACAACATCATGGAAAGTGCAAATCAAACTGAAGGCAATGAAGAAGGAGAGCATGAATTAATTGACACAACTTTGCCTCCTTGGGCATAATTATATGTTCTTGTGCTAGCAATTTGATCTGTTTGTTTTCTCTTGATAGTGACAAAAGCTATTGTTGTAGACTTGTGATGGATATTAAATGTTTAAGGTTAGGACAAATATTATATGTTTGTTAGATCTTTTGTTGGAAAATGTTGTGCGATTTGTTGCTTTTCAAATTAGAATATTTGGAATTAGTATCATATTTTACAGGTATTTGAGTGTGTTAATAGTTTTTTTTAATAAAAATTACAGATTTGTATATACTTAGCGGGTCATGCGGTTGAACCAGTGACTCAGTGACCCGGTACCTCGACCGGGTCGATGACCGGGCCGAGTTTAGTAACATTGCTTATAACCCTTTATTAATAATTAATTACCAAATTGACCTTCATTATAAACTATTTCAAAAATTTAACCTCTCCAAAAAACATAACACCAATCTGTCCATATTTGACCGTTGACCACCAAGCCTATCCGGGTACACCCCTCCCTACCCGGGTATTTTTTGAAAATTTATGCCTACCCGGGTAGGGAGGGGTGTACCCGGGTAAATCTCGACCAAAAATCCCAAAATCGTTCGAATATTATCTCAACTATTTCAAATATTTATGGCATCTCAATGTGTTGTTATACACCACAATAATTGATCCCCATTAATTGCGCCCCAATAAATACGCTCCATCGTTGCTTGATTTCATGAAATTATTCTGAAGTTATTTATCTTTGGATTAGTATTATTTTCTTCCTAATCTGTTACAATTTTGTTTCCCTTTTTTAATGCTGATTTCTTTCCTAATTAGTGTGTAGCTGATTTATAGGGATTGTACCCTTCATCTTAGCAAAAAGGCTGATTTGATGTAAAGCCTTTATTCTCTATATATTGTACTAATCCCTTTGATGAAAAGCAAGAAAGAAATATGAATTATTCAGAAAAATTATTGTTCCCTTTTTACCAAAATTCTTTACAATGCATTCTTTACCAAACTTCATGTGCGCATATCCTTCAACAAAATGAGGTTGAACGCAAAAATCATCTTATTGAAACCACTCAAATTCTCTTACTCCATGGCAATGTTCCTTCCGGTTTTGGGACGATGCCATTTTCACTGCTTGCTACCTATTTAATTGGATGTCTTTCTCTCCGGTTTTGGGGTTTCTGGTCGAGATTTACCCGGGTACACCCCTCCTTATCCGGGTAAATAATTCAAGCAATTTTTCAGATGTCAAGAACTATACCCGGGTACACTCCTCTGTACCTGGGTAGGCATAAATTTTCAAAAAATACCCGGGTAGGGAGGGGTGTACCCGGGTAGGCTTGGTGGTCAACGGTCAAACATAGGCAGATTGGTATTATGTTTTTTGGGAGGCTAAATTTTTAAAATAGTTTATAATGAAGGTCAATTTGGTAATTAATTATTAATAAAGGGTTATTAAGGTCAAAAACCCCCAAGTGAAATACCTTATTCATAGAAAGAGGTTTGAAGCTGAGAGTGTGATTTTTTTATTTTTTTTATTTTTTTTTTTAGCTTTTTTGATTACCTTTATGTTTGAAGTATAAAGTATATGCAAATTGTACAAAAAAAAAAAAAAAAAATTGAACGGTGTAAGTGTAGTCATTACATTTTGCAACTTACCTAGATCGTCAAGCTTTCTAAGTGTGATTGAAGGCTGATGAGGTGTATGAATAGCTAATGAATACACAGATCTGTCTTCAGTTTCTTTGTTATATACTAATGAGTTATTTGTTGATTTGAGACTAGTTTAACATAAGGGATTTGGGGGAGATTTTGTATGTTTATACAGACTTGTTGATGAAGCCTTGGTTTCAAACATAAATATTGATGTGACGTCTAGAGCTGCTGAAGAATGGTGTTATAGATGAAATGGGATTCAAGTTCATAATCTTCATTCCTCCTCATCCCAAAAGAAGTCTACACTTAGTATTTCACTTATAATCTCTTGGTTACATGTTTGCTTGGGGGTAGGTCCTTATTTTTGTAATCTACATATGTTTCTTTTGCTTAGTTATTATTCATAGGCCATTTTCAAATGTTTTTTTGGGGGTTGTAGGGTGATGGGAAATATCGCTGCAGTGAGACTGGCTACTGAAATCCATTCAAATGTGTAGAAAGTAAAGATTCCATGAAGGATGCAGAGAAAACAAATTCTCAGAAACCACAGTCTTCTTTAGAAATCTCTGACAGTAATGCAAAATCTCATAAAGTGTCACATGTTGCTGGAGAGTTATCTAGTAGGGGTGTTCATCAATCGATCCAAACCGATTCAAACCGCGAAAACCGAATCGAAAAACCGATAACCGAAAAACCAAAAATCGAAAAAAAAACTGTAAATTTTAATTGGATTGGATCGGTTTTCGGATGGGTTGATGAGAACCGATCCAATCCAAACCAATCTAATATATTAATTCTCCTCTACCTACTTGGTCCTTTTCCTAATTATATCCCAAAAATTTCTAAACCCATGACCCATTAACTCATCAACTAAACCCAAGAAAAAATTTAGTCACGTCTCATCAACTATATTATTGTTTATTGATATTTTTGTATTTCGAAATTTTTTTTTTGCAAAGCCAATATATACAAAAGATGTTATTTGCACAATAATCATGAAACTAATTTTAGGATATTCAAAAAATCGAAAACCGATCCAATTGAAACCGAAAAAATTGGATTGGATCGGATCGGATTTGGAAAAAAATCTAAACTGAATGGATGATTAAATGATCAAACGGAAGGGATTGGATCGAATGAATTTTGCTTCCAAAATCGATCCAATCCAGACCGCGAACACCCTAGTTCACAATCACATAGATGTTCTGAATTTGGTTGATTGGAAAAATCAAAGGGAAAAACTAATATTATGTTGTAGGAAACTTTTTAGGTCATGTCATAGAGACAAGAGATTGTGGGGTCCACTATTTTTAAAATAAAAGAAAAATAAAAGAATTGATGGGCCCACTTTTATGTTTGTGTAGGAAGATTGCTTGTGTCATATAAAAGGAGAAAAACATTACCCAAAATCAAATCATATAATGAGTACAGTATTGTCTGTTGGACTAATATATCCCATGTTAGGGGATTAATTAACAGGTTTTGTGAGCTGCTAAGGTTTGGTTCTTTAAATTTCAAGGAATAATGTGTACTTGCAAACCATGCATGTGTATGACATTAATATGCATAATAAACTAACAAATAATAACCATAATTTTAAGTTGAGCTGCTGGAAAAGCTATCACTTATCAGCATCTTTTAATGTGAAGGTGTCTGGTGGTAAATGTTTGAAATAGCATTAGCTACAAATTGTTTCATCCAGATTTACTGTCAAATCACCTTAGCTATCTCCCTCCCTGGTCCTCTCTCATGCCTTGATTTTTTTTTATATTCACTTTATGTACTAAAATAAAATAAAATAAAATTATTGGCACTATCTGATTTTTTTTTCTTGGCTCCGTCACTTGATATATGAATAGTAATAATGTAATAGTCTGGTATTTGAAGATCGCAGTTTGAAGACTGTGTGCTGGTTTGCTATATTTACAAATTTCTGTAGAATATTGATCGTAGTAATTCTTTTGATTTCACTATTTCACAACCAGGTTAGTATCAACCCTAATACAACATATTGAGATATATTGATCTAAAAGTTGGTGCTTTCCGTTAAGCATTTGATGCTATATTTTGCTTATCTACTTGATCTTAGATGGTTGCTTCTAATGAATATCTGCTTCCTGTACAACTCATTTAAACTGTTTGAATGGATATGATCCAAAATTACTCATTGGCTGAATTATCCAAACATTTCGTTGGTTTCAATACAACAAGCATGATTTATTTTAGAGTAAAGCCTCCTTTAGGTCCCTAACAAAAATCATGGTTTCCACTTTCGTCCCTTACAAAAAAAAAAAAAGTCAATTTTTGGTCCTTTTACAATTTCAGTTTTTTTAAAAATGTAATTCCTAAAAAATTCAATGGAAATCCAATTTAATCTCTAAAAAATGACTAAAATGAGTATTTTTTTTTTTTTGTAAGAAATGAAAGTGGAGACCGTATTTTTTGGTAGGGACCAAAAGGGGTTTACTCTTTATTTTAAGGGAATTACTTTTCTTATGTTACATAAAAAAATTATTATCTCATACACTCACATTTTTCAAATGAGTCTCACAAGATTTTTTTTCTCTCACCTTCAACTTTTTTCTCTCTCCTAACTATTGTTTGAGCATGAGATAATACTTCTCTTATGCAACATAAGAGAAGTATTACCCTTATTTTAATGGCTAAAGTAGATTTCTATTATGGATCCATTTCCTTGGATTTTTTTTTCTTCCTCTTTAATTTCTAAGGGTTGTTTCCAAATTAACTGGGGAAAAATATGTTTTTATTTGACTTGCCCTGAACATTAGAAATTCTATCAACCAGTGCACCAATACTTAAAATTGTGGAGATGTTTTCCAGCTAGCCTGTTTGCACAATAAAGGATGCATGTTTTAGTGTTTTTATGATGTAACTTTTCTTTGGCGAAGTTACTGATAATTCTAAATTCTGTGTGTATAGGATGCATTGGAGGATGTCCGAGTTCCAAATCGCAGCAAAATAGAGACATCTGAATTAATAAACTATTAAAAGAATATTTATTTTATTGGGAAGATTTCCTATAATTAAAAGGTAGATTTTGCCGTGGTACACTAAATAAGTAAATTGTAATTGTACTTGTAAATTTATACAAACATAAAGAAGAATATTATAATTATTTCATCAAACAGGAGGAACTAATTAATTTATAATCGCAGATGTTTACAATAACTAAAATAATACATGAAAATATATAATATATTTTTTATGTTCAGCATTTCAGCAGTTGATTATACTGACGATTGGCATTTCTATAGAAACAGTCTCAAGTAATTTAAACTAGCCACTTTTAGAAAGTAAAGAAGAGAATTGAGGAAGATCAAATAATGTCAACAAAAAAGTTTTAAACTTATTTTTTGCTATTAATTTTTCATTGGTAATTAATGTGTAGGTAATATTTTAAGCCCTTATTATGACTTGTACATACAAACTTTGAAATGGAACAATATCCTTCCTTCTTACACTTCTCTCCACATAACTGCGCGTTGGAAACTATTTATGTTTTTTTTTTTTTTTTTTTGATAACAATTTATGTTTTTTTCAAAAAAGGATGAAGGTCTAGTTCATATTTGTGTGTGAGAAAGGGAAATATGTAATGGTGAGGAATATGAATATTAAACAGATAAAATTTTGGAAATGTGTGGTCGAATCAATGAATTTAAGGGTGGTAAGCAAGATAAAATTGCCTAAGAGATTGGTCAGAATGCAGCTGCATTTTTATATGTCTTTGTTGTTTGCCAATTTTCTAACATGATCATTCTTCTTATTTGAGACTTCAACTTCATAGTCCACACCATGGCCATGCTTTCACTCCCGCTCATGCACAAACGTAGCCATCATACCTACCGAATGAGCCAATTCCCACAGTCTTAACTTCTTTTAGATAGTCAAATTTGGCTGTGTCTGGTTTCCTGTGTTTTTCGATATGATAGTGACATATGAACTATACAACCAATTATAAGTGATATCAATGTAACAAACCCAAAACTTATTAGGAACAATGACCAAAATGTCACTGTTCACCAACTTTTTTACCTAAATGCCACGCGAATAGTGTTATTTTTCAATCTACCACGGGACAAGTTCGCTACCCGGTGTAGCGAACTCGGTTTGCTGACATGTCACGTTTCTAGTGGACACCAACTTGATTTTAACCAAACCTTCATTTTTTTATTATTTTTTTTTAAATTTGATACTTGTTATCCATTAAAAATGTGACACGTCAGCAAACCGAGTTCGCTACACAGGGTAGCGAACTTGCCCCCGTGGCATATTGAAAAATAACACTGTTCGTGTGACATTTAGGTAAAAAAATTAGTGAACAGTGATATTTTAGTCAGTGTTCCAAACTTATTAACCCTTTGGGGTTCACACTTCACAAGTTATCTATAATCTCTACCACTAGTTGATTTTGCAAACGGATAAATATTGATATAATTAAATTAAGGGAAATATAAGAATCATGTTGCAGAAATGACACTGTTTATTCCTGCAACAAGAATCCGGCAACGTATCTTGAGAATACGGCGTCGTATCCTAATTTTGGTTTGAATTTTTTTTTTAAGCGTGGGACCCACACTTGATTTGTGTGTGCAGTAAAATAGTCTTGTCATGTGACATGACAAAAAGCGAACCCTTAAATTAAATATTGTAGCCAACAAAAGATTAATATAAAAATGATAAAGTCAAAGTCTGGATGGAATCATAAATTATTTGTAGAAATGAGGAACGAAAATGATGCAAAAACTAGATCAATCATTTTTGTCTTCACCCAAGATTCCAACCAATTCTAAAACTGCCAACGCCTATCCAAACAGAACACCATCGCTAACGGGTTCTTTTGAACCATATATTTTGTAGTTTTAGCATGCACAAAAGACAAGAGTTAAGGAAACCAAAATAACAATAGTCAATGACAACTTGACAAGAACAAAGAACAACGGCACCACTAGCCAAAACAATTTACATAATTACAGAAAACCCACACCACAACCGTTTCAATATTATTCCCATGTCAAAGTTCTCATAGATGCATTCAAATATCAAGAAACAACCAAAGTGTAACAAACAGCATACCCAGAACTTCCAGTTTGCAGGGCCAGTAAAGTGGATGCTACATTATCACTAAGATGGAATACAGATATAGCATATGGCATCAGAATTCAGGTAGGAAATCATCTAATTAGACAAGAAACGTATCATCCATGTCTCAAAGCGAGACCAAGCCAGCTGAACTCCAGCTTCATCTTCATCAGGCATTCCCATGTTCTTCCTCCTCTGGATTCCTTCTGTGGACCTGTTCATGAATGCATGTGTGCTGCCAGGATACATGTGTATCTCGTGTTGAACTCCAGATGCCTTCAGCTTCTCCTCCAATGCCTTGGCAGCCTGAGACATCAAACAATGTCAAATGTCACTGATTAAATTTAAACATTTTCATCTCAGAATAAAAACACAATTGTGCTCTATCTCTCTCGCCTTTCCCTTTCATGATGCTGAAAGGGGTACCAACAACAAAATAATGGTGTAAGCAACTGAAGGGGTACCATATCCAACAAAATACTCATCACTGAAAAAAGGGTATATCTTTCAGAGAAGTTTTAAAACGAAGAGCAGAGTTAAGATGTAAATGTCAGTTATTATCAAAACACTGGAAAAAAAAAATTATATCTCACAACTTGGAGTGATTGAAAGGACAAAGTCTATTATGATTCACTTAAGCCCATAGACCTCAGTTTCCCTCTTTAAAAGATGTCTGGTGTGGGTAAATTGGAATCAGTTTCATGTAAGCATTGGAATTACCTCATTCATTTAGGGTATGCTTGGTATGAGAGATTTGCAATGGGAAGAGGAAATATAAAGGGGGATGCTATCAAGAAGGTGAAAATTCCTGATTGAAAATTATTTTCTTCTGTCCTACATCTGAGGGAAATTGAAATAGAATTGCAAAGAAATTCTCATACAGTAACATCTGAAAAGCCAACAAAATTATCCTGGTCTCCAAAGTGAGCCTGAACAGGAGCCTTGGCTTGGGCAGGGTCCGCAAGCTGTGAAGAAGGAACTCCATAAAATGCTACAACAGCATCAACCTCAGGAACCAAGACAGCACTTGCAATAGAGAGAGCACCCCCCATACAAAATCCAGTTACACCAGCCTGTTGCAATAAATGAAGTCACGTTTTGTATAATTCAACACAAAATGATATTCTAAAATCTAGTCAGTTAAACAAAATTAAACTTCATTGAACAAAAAACAAACTAATGTTATTTGGCACATTAATTTAAGGATAAAATCCACCATATCAGAATTTATAAGAACACTCTCGCTAGACCAACAAAAATTACCTTAACCCAATAAACTCTTCTATAAGTTCTATTAAACAATTACTGAAAGAGACTTACATAGATAGCAAAACACACCAAATTTCAGAAAAATTACGTACTATTTGTAAAATAGATTTTAAAAATACCTGTAAGGCAATTCCTATTTAATAAGATCAATCTATTATCGTGATCATAATAAAATATTCCTCTAAATGAAAAATTGAAGGAAAATGACCACAAAATACCATGTGTTGACTGGTTGAGCATTTCAGATTCACTAGTCACTGGATTAAAATTATAACTCAAGTTTTGTAATAAACCTCAAAATGAGAAGCATGCAACCAGGAGATATAAGTAAATTAAAATGTGGAGCAATCTTTTCCTGTTCAATCTCTTACATCTTAAGTAAGACTCAGACTAAATCACTTAAAATCTTAAGCTAAGGTTAGCTTATGTCTTTATGGGTTGATAAAAACTAGAAGACCCTTCTGCAACTACCATATGATGATAAAAGACACAATGAACCCTTCAGACACAAATCAACATAATCAAAGATCCATATTAAGCAGATACTGTAGACAACATGGCATTTTTAAGGTAGAGAAAATTTCATCTTGGCAACACAAACAGTGGCAAACCTTCTTTGAACCATTCGCTTTAAGCCAGTTAACTGCAGCACGGATATCCTTCACAGCACCTTGCCAATCAAGGCCATCCATCAAATGCTGTGCTTCTGCTACATCCAGACCAACCTTTCCTCTGTACAGACTGGAAAAAAGGCAAAACGTGTCAGTCATCAAAATATAGCACATGATACATATTAACACATAAAGAAGGAAGATTATGAAAATTTAGGAAGCAACGTTATCTTACTCTGGGATAAGAGCTTTAAACCCAGCACCAAGCTGAGAAATCTTCACGGCATGGTTCTTAATTTCAAAATCCACACCCCACCATTCCTGAAGCACAACAATTCCGGGAGCATCTTCTTTTCCAACCACGTATGCATCAAATGTCTGATCATTGAAAACAAAAAAATAAAAAAATAAAAAAATTGCATAACAGGGTTAAAAATGAAGTTCCAGTGCAGATAGCAACGATGAACCATGGATGGCGTAAGACAAATTTTGGTCCAACACCATGACTATATCTTGTCAAAATGACTTCTACATTACCACTTTATGATGCAAACCAAATTAAACGCAGAAATACATCAAAATTACAGGGCATAGCAAGGAATAATCAGATCTAACTGTAATTCACTTAACAAGTCCAGATTGTCAAAAAGCAACTCTGGGAATCCATGCTTCATAAGGGTAACATTGCATTTCAAAACATGATATTAATAAAGGCCCATTATAACATATGTGATGAAAATTCATCACACAACATATTGCTGGAAAAAGGTTGAAACTTTTTTTTTGGGGTGCATTTTAATTTTTTTTTTTTCACTACAGCTGTTCATAAAACCCTCCATTAAGAGGGGAAAAACCCCAAGTCAAAAGAAAATTTTAGCCATATCAATTCTAAAACTCAAATAATTCTTCTTTTTATTAAAAAAAAAAAAAATCGAAATAAGTCAAAGAGGATAGTAAGCAAAAGCAGCAAAATAAATCAATTTCATGAGTGATTGTACTCTAAAAAAGAAGAAGTGAAATTGGAATAAAAAAGGATACACTCACAGTGTCATCCCTTTGAATCTGGATTTTCTTGAAAGGGGATGATGCAGAGTCAGCCATGGAATAGAACTGAACGAGAAGCAGAGAAGAGAAGATGGAGAACAATATAGGACATGTGAGGAGCCATGGCTAATGTTATAAGAAACATTGTTAAATTGAAAACGATGTCGTTTACTTTGATTTTCGTTTCACGTGTCTGGTGCAGTTGTCTCAATAATAGTTAAAATATTGTTAACAAGTGCCTTAAAAATATTTAATCAAAACAAACAGGTATTAAATAATTTTTATGCGCTGATCAACATCATTATGCACCTTTGGTCCGAATAATCCAAATTTTCAAGCATCATTCTAGGAGATCCGGGTAAACCCACTCGTATAGAGAAAGGCAGAAAGCAACAGGTAGTACATTGAAAATTATTATTTATATGTGTCTTGTTCCTCTTTCTTTCCTTTTTTTTTTTTTTTTTTAAAATATTTTAATTGATTCATCGTTTTGAACTAATTTAATTCGGGACAGGTATCGAGATTAAGACTTTAAATCCTTCCCAAAGACACTCTGGAAAGGATCGAACACATGTTATTGGCTTTCATCTGCTCAGTTTTCTAACATCAAGTGAACTACAATAATTTGATTTGTTCCTTATTGTTTATTAAAAAAGAAAAGAAAAAACCAATCATATCTTTATTACTGTGCTCTTGCGCAATAGCACATGTATAAAAAAGTAATTTTAGTATTTCGAGTAAATATTAATTTCTCATTAAGAAAAATCTTTAAGTACACTGAAGCATGTAGATAGAAGGTAGTAATATATAATATAAAATCATCAATGATTCGTTATTTAAATGTCCATCCTTTTTTAATGTGAGATTTTTTTATTACTAATACTTGAATTTTCAATAATCTCCTACCTCCACTCAAGTGTGAGTCTTATAATTGTTAATTTGTTGGGCTTCCTCCTTCAATGCTAAGCCCAAGCCCATTTGAAGGGTTTCCTAAAAACTCTAACCCTAATTTCCACCTCCTCTATATATACTCATTAGTTGTGGGTGGAGGCTAGGTCAGATTTGAGAGAACAAATTTGAGAGAATTATTTGATTGTTTGAGCAAAAGCTTTATGCTTTGCATTTGAGAGATCTCTAGAGAGAGTTTGAGTGAAATATCTCTAGGGTAGTTTGATTATCACCATTGTTGGAGAGGTTGAGTTAACCACCACATTGGTGTATTTGATTATTTGTAACCATTATTTTCATAGTGGATTTTTGATCTGGACTAGGTCCTGTGGGTTTTTACTTCTTCATTGAAGAAGGTTTTCCCACGTTAAATCTGGTTGTGTTCTTCTTCTTCTCTCTCTCCTGTGTTTACGTTTTGATTTTTCCGCTGCGCTGCCTGACCTGGTGAAGTTCAGGTTGAGGTATTGCCGAGATCCGAGATCATGATCTTGTTGATTGACTTTCGCACAAAGGCCCCTGAGCCGAGCTTGAGGGAACCGAGTTTCCCAACAGTGGTATCAGAGCCCGAGTTCGACGGGTTCTGAAGGAGACGAGATGGAGACCAGTGGCATAACTCATGATGGAGATATGTTCAAGTTGACCGCAGACAACTTCACTTATTGGAGACCGATGATGGAAGATCATCTCTACTGCAAAGATCTGCATGAGCCCATTATCCTTGATGAGAGACTGGCAGGCAAAACTGATAAGGAGTGGGAGATCCTGAGTCGGAAGGCGGTAGCCACGATCAGGAAATATATTGATAAAAGCCTCTATGAGCACGTGTCCGAATTCATGAACGCGTATGAGTTGTAGACGAAGCTAGAGTCCATGATTCAGAAGAAGACTCCCATGAACAAAGCACACCTGGTTCGCCGACTTGTTAAGCTTGAATACAAGGACGGCATGAGCATGATTGAACACCTGAACACCTACAAAGGTATTGTGAATCAGCTGTCAAAGGCTGATATGAAAATTGATGAAGAATTGCAAGCATTGCTGCTGTTGAGCTCGCTGCCAGAAAGCTGGGATACTCTGGTGGTGACCCTGAATAACTCGACTCCAAATGGAAAATTGAAGATGGATGTCGTGACAGACAGCCTCCTGGGCAAAGAATCCAGGAGAAGAGAACGAGGTATTTCAAGTACGTCTGAGGCCAACGTTGCTAAGAACAAAGGGAAATCCGACTCCCGCGGTAGAAGCAAAAGCCGAGGTAGAGGTCGTGACAGACGTGACAAGTCCAGAGGTCGGTCAAAGCCGAAATATGAGTTGGAGTGCTTTTACTGTGGAAAGACAGGCCATAAGAAGTCAGACTGCTGGACCCTACAGAATGATGAGAAGAACGACTCTGTGAAGCCGGATCAGATTATTCCCAAGAAGAGGGAAGACAAGAGCACCACTGCGTTGGCTGCAAATCCTGATGCCGAAATATTCCTCTTAGGTGAGGATAATTATTTGAATGTCGCATATGATGACTGCACCTGGATTGTTGACTCCGGTGCCTCCTTCCACGTTACTCCACACAAAGGTTTTTTCTCCTCTTATCGAGGTGGTGATTTTGGAGTCGTGAAGATGGGAAATCAAGTGACCAGCAAGATTGTTGGTGTCGGTGATGTAACTCTGACCACAGATGTCGGATGCCGACTTGTGTTGAAAGATGTAAGGCATGTTCCTGACATGCGTTTGAACCTAATCTCGGTAGGCAAACTTGATGATGTCGGGTTAGTGAACTACTTCGGTAGTTTGAGATGGAAGCTGACCAAGGGAAACTTGGTCGTGGCCCGAGGTAAGAAGGAAGGCTCCTTGTACGTGATGCAAGGAAAGATCAATGGCGGAGAAGCCAATTCTGTTCGAGATGAACCTAGCTTGGAGCTATGGCACAAGCGCCTCGGCCACATGAGCGAGAAAAGGGCTACAGATCCTGAACAAGAAAGGATTATTGACCGGGTTGAAAGGCCAAGCGTTGGAGAGTTGCACGCACTGCCTAGCTAGAAAACAGCACCGGGTTTCTTTTGTGAGACCGGATCAACCAAGAAGACGAAGGAATATTCTTGACCTCGTCCATACTGATGTTTGCTCCATGTCGGAGAAATCTCTTGGAGGAGCTCAGTATTTTGTTTCATTTATTGATGACCATTCCCGCAAAGTGTGGGTATATTTGTTGAAGACTAAAGACCAGGTACTCCAATCCTTTAAAGAATTCCATGCTATGGTTGAAAGGGAGACTGGCAAGAAATTGAAGGTGGTCCGATCTGATAATGGTGGTGAGTATTGTGGCCCATTTGATGCATACTGCAGAGCGGCCGGGATTCGACTTGAGAAGACGCCCCCCAAGACACCTCAGTTAAATGGACTGGCTGAGAGGATGAACAGAACAATTGAAGAGAAGGTACGAAGCATGATATCCAATGCCGGGTTACCAAAATCATTCTGGGGAGAAGCCGTCAAAACTGCTGTTGACTTGATCAACCTCTCACCATCACGGCCATTTGAAGGAGAAATTCCAGAAGAAGTCTGGACAGATCGGAAAGCGGCCTACAATCAACTGAAAGTGTTTGGATGCCGAGCTTTCGTGCATATCCCTAAAGATGAAAGGGCCAAACTTGATGCAAAGACCAAAGAATGCATTTATCTTGGTTCGCCGAGATGTGAGTTCGGGTTCCGACTTTGGGATCCAATCAATAAGAAGATCGTGAGAAGCCGAGATGTGATCTTTCATGAGCATGAGAACATTCATGACATCTCGAAGCCCAAAGTCCGGGTTACTGTCAGACGTGAAGAACCCATCCCTCCTGTCCGAGCTGAAGCAGGGGGAGAAAATCAAGAAAATGATGATCAGCAACAAGCTGAAGATGACCAAGACATTGAGGCCCGAGTTGATGATGAGATCCGTGATGAAAATGATGAACTGGGTTCTCAAGCTGAAGAACAGCCGAGATATCCAACTCGAGAAAGAAGACCCTATACAAGGTACCCATCTGATGAATACATCGTTGTTGCTAAAGACGGTGAGCCTCAGAGTTATGATGAAGCTGTAACGAGCTCAGAGAAAGAAGAATGGGAAAAGGCAATGCGAGACGAGATGAAGTCTCTGCACGAGAATCAGACTTATGAGCTGACCGAGTTGCCTAAAGGAAGACGAGCTTTGAAGAATAAATGGGTCTACAAGATTAAGAATGAAGAGAACGGGCAAAAGCCGAGATACAAAGCCCGGATTGTAGTGAAAGGCTGCAATCAGAAGAAAGGAGTTGATTTTGAGGAGATTTTTTCTCCTGTGGTGAAAATGACCTCGGTCTGAACCGTGTTAGCCATAGCGGCTTCAATGGACCTCGAGGTAGAACAAATGGACGTGAAGACGGTATTTCTTCACGGTGACTTAGAAGAAGAGATATATATGGAGCAACCAGAAGGGTTCCAAGCTCCAAACCAAGAAGACTTGGTATGTCGGTTGAAGAAGAGCCTTTATGGCTTGAAGCAAGCACCTCGGCAGTGGTACAAAAAGTTTGAATCATTCATGACTGATCATAAGTTTGAAAAGACAGATGCCGACCACTGCGTATTTGTAAAGAGGTATGAGGCCGGAGATTTTCTGATTTTGTTGTTATATGTTGACGACATGCTTATTGTAGGGAAAGACAAATCGAGGATAGTCGCCCTGAAAAAGGCGTTGAGCTCGTCCTTCGCAATGAAGGACCTCAGCCCTGCAAAGCAGATTCTCGGAATCAAGATCATCCGAGATAGACAGAAGAAGCTACTGTGGCTGAGTCAAGAAAAATATATTGAGAAGATTCTGAAGAGATTCAGCATGGACAAAGCCAAAACAGTGAGCACCCCCCTAGCCGGACACATAAAGCTGAACCAAAAGCAATGTCCGAGATCTGATGAAGACAAAGCTGAGATGATGAAGGTCCCTTACCAATCCGTCGTCGGAAGCTTGATGTATGCAATGGTTTGCACTAGACCCGACTTGGCGTATGCTGTAGGAATGGTAAGCCGGTATTTGTCAAACCCCGGCAAAGAGCACTAGGAAGCAGTGAAGTGGATCTTCAAGTACCTCCGAGGTACGACCGACTTATGTCTCCGATTTGGAGAAGGCAAAGTCGAGTTGCAAGGCTACTCGGATTCTGATTTAGGGGGAGATTTCGACTCGAGGA